ATAGGGGGTGCCCATTACAATTCTTCAGTCCTGAGGATATAGGCCAGGGATGAATAAATGTAGCAGATACATATAGGGGCCGGTTTCCCCAGGATCTGAAACACACATACACACCTCAAAAAAATTGAGTGCACCATTTTCAAGGTCAGGGCCAGCACATCCATTAAGTCGGAGGCAAGCAGTTCTGGGGGCAGAATTGAAAGAAAATGTGCAGATTAGTCTCTCCAGCTTCCGTCCCTATAATTGGGAGACCTTTGGGCACCAAACGGTCTTGGGCTGTCCCTGTCAAAACATCTTCTTTCTTCCTTTGCCTAGGAATGTCCTAAAGCAAGGGTCTTTTTTCTCTTTATGTGTTTCAGGTTCTCCCCACAAAACACAGAACTCCTTACAACTTTGGGTTTGCTGTACCTGGAGGTATGGAAGCCAGTTAATGGGCTCGCTGTTTAATGTTGTTGGTCCGGCAGCTATGTTATGACGTGCACATCCAGGCATCCCTGTTCCTGCTTAAGATTCTCCTCTCAGGTCTTCCAGTCTCAGGAAGAATGGAACTGTCCCTTCTCCTTAGGTCCTCAAGGAAGGGGATATGAGAACCAACCTGTGTAGCTGCACCGGAGTTGAAATCTCGACGGGGCCCTTCTGCGATATTTGCTGCTCCAACGAGGAGAGTAAAATGATAGTTTAATGAATTTTCCTTGTAAGAAAGAACTGCAGAAACGATCAGATAAGGCCTCTTAGCTGGAATTAGAAATGACTTGAAAGAGATTAAACCTTTATTCTGGACAGTCGGAGAGGGCGGGAGGGATGGCATTTCAAAGGAAGCAGATTCTGAGGCTGCTCCTCCAAGCGCATTTTCATCCCAAATGAGCTCTCATCACGGCTTTGAGAGAGATGGCACGCTCATCAGCGCCGGAGAGAGCTCCAGGGCTTTGGAGCTTGCAGTTTAGAATGAGGAGAGGTTGGTGTGTGGAGCACAGGAGGATGACCCCCCCTCTGGCTCACCTGGTAACGAAGTTCTTTCTCCCCCCACCCCCAATATTCCTGGGAGGATCTCAGCAGGGAGGGAAGAAGCTTGGCTCTTTCTGAGCTTTTTTCTGAGCTTTTTTTCTGAGAAAGTTCAGAAAAACTGAACTCGGGGAAGCTTGCTCTTTGCTCTCCTGCTGGGTCTCCTCCTCGGTTAGAAAGGTATTTGCTCAGGAGAGGAGAAAACCATCAAAGCCGAGGTGGGAGGGACGGACTCTGTTAATCGCCCAGCCCAAATTCTGGCCTCAGACCATAAACAGACTGCGAATACCTGAATAGGGAGGGCTAAATGTCCTCCGAGTTTCCCCGTTTCCAAAATTTCCTCCTATTCCTAGGCAGCACTGCATGTGACACAAGCCATTACTTTACACGTAAGTACTTCATATGGGATGTCTTTAGAGTAGCCATTCTCAACCGGGGGCCCTGGCACATTGGAAGGGGGCCCACGGGCTGGAAGCACTTCTTCACACACCACTTTCTAAGGTTCGTTATGGGACTTACACAATCCAGATTTGGCCTCGGTTTCTTTCATGTGTTCATGGCCCTGATGCAAAAATGGTTGAGGATGGCTGCTCTTGATCAGGGGAGGGTGAACCCTTTTTCACCTTGGGGGCCACATTCCTCTCTGTGTACCTTCTCTTTGACCAACTTTGGGCCAGCAGTGGGCCAGGGTCCCGTCCCAAAGTGGGATGGGGCCAGAACAGTTTTGTTTCACTATCCCCACAACCACACTCTTTCCCTTTTCCACTCTGAGCTGCACAGAGAGGAAACCAGTCAGTTACATGATAGAAGGAATACAAAGGCAGCACTTGCTGCAAGAGCTTGACATTTTATCTCCTCCGTTACAGAGCAAACCCCTAGCTTTGTTTGGCAACAGCTGTGGTGTTAGTAAAATGTGGCTGAGCCTCTAAAAATGCAGATCCCTTTGATTCTGGTGAGATTCCTCTCTGATTCAATGCTTTTTGCATCTCCCAGCAGCCTCAGAAGCAGCCCGCCTTCTCAGGAAAGAGTGGTCACTAGAGCTGGCTTGGAATTTTGAGGGTAGGGAGAGATTTGGGGCCAGATGATTAGGGATTCTTTAGGAAGAGCAGGGCATGTTAGTGAGAGAGAAGGTGCAAATCTGGCTGGTATGGACCACTGACTTTGCTGCTTCTGCATTTATGAACAGCAAAACCTTACATAGTTGTTGGACAGCTAGATAGCTCAGTGTGTTAGGTCCCTGGCTGTGGAGTCAACGGTTGGGAGTTCCATTTCCCCACTATGCATCTTAGAAGAGCCAGCCTGGGTGGCCTTGGGCCAGCTGCACTGCCCCAGGGTGCCCCCTAGAGGAAGGGAACGGGAAACCACTTCTGTATATTCTCTATCATGAAAACCCTGAAAAGGGTTGCTGTATGTCAGGATTGACTTGATGGCACATAATTTGGGATCTCAAGTGTGGTGGATAGAGTGGATGCTCCCTAGGGGAGCTGAACTGGTAAAAACCACTCCTTAAATATCTCACTCACCTTGAAAGCCCTATTAAAGTCGCTGTAAGTTGGTTCCGACTTTACGACACTTCTTATGTACAGTGGTTGTGTACTGAGTTCTCTGGTGCTGGAGCAGAGGAGTGCTCATGCCCCTCCCCTCCCTGCTGTTACTTTCTGTATATGAAGATTGCTGTGACTTTAGAGAAGGCATGTAGGCTGTCCATCCTAGCAAGAACCCCAGCTTTCGAGGAGAGCCTGCTTCTTCTTCATGGTTGAAAAGCTGCGCCTGAGCAGATGCCTGGGTGTGTGTGAATGGGGTGGCCAAGAAGGGGGAAGGAGGGCCCGTCAGGAGAGAACCAGCTAAATAAAGAGGGACGTTTTGTTGCCAGAAGGGTTGCTTTGTTGATTTGCGTTCCTGGTTGGAGATACCGCATCAGCCGAAGCAGCCACAGGAAGTGGTTTATCTTTCTTGTAACAAAAGTAATATAAAAGCCAGCCATTTATCTGTCATAGATTATTTTTGCTGACCCTTTAAAAAAATCTTTTTCTTAGCTGAAGGATTACCAGAAAGCCTTTGAGCATCTTGGGAACGCGCTCACGTATGATCCCAGCAATTATAAGGTAACTCACAAAGTAGGAATGTATTTCGTGGTTGATGGCGGGGGGGAAGCAGGTTGAACAAACCTTTCCCCGAATCCATGCTGAACAAATGGGTAACCTGGTCATGGAGTAATGAAATTAAGTAGGAACCACCTACCAAATCAGCCATTCTCAACCCCCTCTCTTTTTTTTGGCCACAGCCCTTTCAGGAACTCTTCTCAGATTCCATGCCCCCCCCCCATCAAGCAAGGCTAGAATATGGACAAATATCTTACAGAAACTTCTCACAGTTTCAGTCTGTGGCCCCTTTCAAATATGCCAGGGCCTCCCAACATGGCTGACCAACATCGTCTAGGTTTTTTTCTCAGTCCTTGTTTTAAGTCCCTGTTGAACATGGCTGACCAACATCATCTAGGTTTTTTTCTCAGTCCTTGTTTTAAACGTCTCCAGCTTTCATAGCTTTGCATTTCCCTTCATAACATTGCATTCATGAGCAAAAGCAAAAAAGAAATTTCTCCATTCAGGATTCTGCAATGTAATGTCCTTGCTCCCTTACTTACCTACCTACACTGATGAAATGTGCAGCCGCTACAGATGAATTTTTGTTTTCTCTGTTTTTTTACAGGCCATTTTGGCAGCTGGCAGTATGATGCAGAGCCATGGAGACTTTGATGTGGCCCTCACCAAGTACCGGGTAGTAGCTTGCGCTGTTCCGGAGAGCCCTCCGCTCTGGAACAACATTGGCATGTGCTTCTTTGGCAAAAAGAAATACGTAGCGGTAGGTGTCCCACTACCTGCCCTGCTTAAAATGTCATTTATAGTTCCCTGCGGACAGGGTCCTGTTTTCTTCCCATATGTTGATCAGCTGACTAGAGATGGGGGTATTCATATACCAATACCCCTGCGCAGGTGGACATAATGGGGCTGGACCGTCCACTCACCTGTCCACTGCTGCAGCCGGTTCTATGCTCCCTTCCAATCGTTCTGGATTTTGCAGTTGACTAGCCACTCCTGGCAGGAAGTGGGAGGATGAACCTCCTTGCCAGGCTAATGAGTGGCCAGGAAGTGGGAGGATGACCCTCCCTGCCAGGCTAACGAGTGGCTAGTCAACTGCAAGCTCCAGAGCGATTGAAAGGGAGTGTGGAGCCGGCTGCAGCAGCGGACAGGTCAATGGATGGTCCGGCCCCAGGGAGCCGGCCCCTTGTTATGTCCACTTGTGCGGAGATATTCATATATGAATACGAATACCCCCATCTCTACAGCTGACATTTTAGCACCTATCAGTTCATCAGACAGACGCACCTCTCCTTTGGAAGCATTTAGTTGCATGTGTTACATTTCACTAACTCTAACTTGCTTTAAATTAATTGCTTGCAGGTGGACATAATGGGGCTGGACCGTCCACTCACCTGTCCACTGCTGCAGCCGGTTCTATGCTCCCTTCCAATCGTTCTGGATTTTGCAGTTGACTAGCCACTCCTGGCAGGAAGTGGGAGGATGAACCTCCTTGCCAGGCTAATGAGTGGCTAGTCAACTGCAAGCTCCGGAGCGATTGGAAGGGAGTGTGGAGCCGGCTGCAGCAGCGGACAGGGCAGTGGATGAGCCGGCCCCTTGTTATGTCCACTTGTGCAGAGATATTCATATATGAATACGAATACCTCCATCTCTACAGCTGACATTTTAGCACCTATCAGTTCATCAGACAGACGCACCTCTCCTTTGGAAGCATTTAGTTGCATGTGTTACATTTCACTAACTCTAACTTGCTTTAAATTAATTGCTTTTTTAAAAATCCAAACATCTTCCTTTCTCCCTCTGACCACAAAGGTGGACTTTTCCGTGTGTTCTAATGCTCGGTTGCCTTACTAGCAAACTGGAAGATCTCACTCTGGTTTTGTGAAGTTCACTTTGGCCAGCACTGCCAGCTTGACATTTCTTTTTGAGAGAGATGCTATTACTTGGAAGAAGCAACGCAGCCGACACTGGTCTTGGGCCCCCTTTGCCCTCCTCTTTTACTGAAAAGCCCCAAAATGGCCGTGCGCAGTGTTTTCGCGCCCTCATTAAGCGAGGGGAGGGCGCGAAAATGGCTGCCGGCCATAGAGGAACATCGCTGTAAGTTTAATGCATTCCAATGGCTTTTTTCTTTCCGTACAGCGATGTTTCACACAGCGAGGGTTAATCCAGAATGGATTAACCTTGCTGTGCAAGGCACCACTGTACTTGGAAGAAGCAACGCAGCTGACACTGGTCTCGGGCCCCCTTTGCCCTCCTCTTTTACTGAACCAAGCCCTTTTCCCTTGCAGGCCATCAGCTGCCTGAAACGGGCAAACTACCTGGCACCCTTTGACTGGAAGATTCTGTATAACCTTGGCCTCGTCCATCTGACAATGCAGCAGTACGCCTCTGCGTTCCACTTCATCAGTGCAGGCGTCCATCTCCAGCCAAAGCTGGCAGAACTCTACATGCTGTTAGCAGGTACCAACAACGGGCATCCACCCTTCCTGGTCACTGCAGTGAAAATGCTGCTCCTTCCTGGGATGAAGAGTTGCCCACCTTGCTCTGAGAGCTAACATTAATTTGTGTAGTGTTTTGAGCACGTAAGTGGGTCAAGAGACTTTCCCGAACCTGCTGCTCTCAGGTCCATGTCCAACATTCTGTTCAGTGGACTCTGGCTGGAAATAAAATCAACAGTGACTAGTTCATGTTAGAGCTCCTCTAACATGTGAGACCTCTAAGTAAAGGAAATGGCGGCTTCTCATCCTTGGTTAGCACTGTGTGTAAACACAGCAAGCAGCTTTGTCCAAGATTAGTCATTGGTCCTTCTCACCCAGTATTGCCTACTTCTGTGGCTTTCTGGGTGTTTGAGGCTTTGACTCCCATCTGCTCGCAGGCTGTTTTGGCTAGCGCTTTGTTGACATGAAGCCCAGAACGCCATAGGCCTATGTCTGAAAATGTTTACTCTAGTAGTGGTTACCCATTATCTCAGGTTGGGGATCCCCTCCATCATTTGGAGTACTATAACTGGAACTAGCAAGAGCTGGACATGGGATTTTCTATGTGTAAAACATGTTCACTGCTGGAGCTTTGTCTCTCCATGTGCTGCTGATGGACAGGATTGTTGTTCTCTGTCGGAGACCAGAACCTCTGTCTTAGAGAAGGAGGGTATGTTCACTAGGCAAACTCCAGTTCAGCAGGTTGCAGGGCTCCCTTAAGATCATGAGCTGTGTGAGTTATGCTTCTGATTCAAAACTCTCCTGGGGGGGGGAGTTGCAATCTCTCACATCTCCCCTCTTGACCTCAAACGTGCAACACTGATTTCGAGGGTTTCGTCACGTTGTCAACAGAAGTCATCCCTGTTGTTCTTGTCTCGATGCAGTTGTGCTGACCAATCTTGAAGATCCTAAGAATGCCAAACTAGCCTATCAAAAGGCTTCTGCACTAGACATGTAAGCATTTTTATTTTGTTTATGCGAGGTGGGTATAAGGAGCAGCCTTCTTGTTGAGAGTAATACTTTCTGTACCAACTGCAAAGTGGCAACACATCTTCATAAACTTGAACCTGAACCATAAGGGTGGCAGTACCGGAAGGCTTACTTATTTCCTAGGGCCAGACGAGAAGCATGTAAAATTCTGGACTGCACTTTCAAAAGTTAAAGCAGCCAGCATGGCGATGCTGGTGGGTGTTGTCTTGATTGAGGCATGCTCGTACCTCATGCCTCACCTGTCTTTTTCTTCAGTTGTGCACATTCACTGCTCTGGTCTCATCATCCTCCGAGCGGGTTTTCTGTTTCTGGGGGAGAAGAATTCTGCAGTGCCTTCTCCACAGGTGGTCTCAGCCCATACAAGAGGGTTCAGAAAATGGCTGCCTTCTGTACAGTGCACACCTGAATGGGGGGGTGATGCAGAAAAGTGAAGTTGAAATGTACACAAAGTACCTTAAAGCAGTGGTCCCCAACCATGGGCCTCCAGATGTTCTTGGATTTCAACTCCCAGAAATCCTGGCCAGCAGAGGTGGTGGTGAAGGCTTCTGGGAGATGTAGTCAAAGAACCTATGGAGGCCCAAGGTTGGGGACCACTGCCTTGAAGGCAATATTCTTTAGCTTGCCTTTGCTGTTTCGTGGGAACTCAACCTGATACATTCGGTTCCCTCGGACACTGGCACTTAGTTGGTCTTCTTCCTGAGGGTCCTGACCCCCCCCTGTCTTTCTTGTGCTGTAGATGCAACCCTCTGATAAGTCTCAACTTTGCAGTTCTGCTCTACAATCAAGGGGATAAGGAAGAGGCTGTCCTCCAGTACCATGAGATGAAAAGGAAGGCCCAGGCATTAAAGGAGAACGCCCTGGAGTTTGACTCTGAGGTAGGTTGCTTTAAACCACTGACTGGAGCTCCTGCAGCTACACAGCTGAGCTGCAAAGCACTCAGATCAATTGTATGCCCAAGAGCAGTGCTGACTTTGATGGAGAATTTATTTACTTAGAAACACAGCAACATTGAAGTTGCTCTCTTGCAAAAGCTGCCTCCTTGACGAACAGCAACACAGTGAAGATTCTTCCCTGAACCAGGGCATTGAATCCATTCTGTTTCCTCTGAAATGTTAAAATTTCCATTTAGGTGGATCTTTGCTTCTTTCAGCAGCCAAAGCAACTTGGATAGACAGGTTGGTGTGGTTTAATGAGCATTGTCCACTAAATAAGAGCAGACACTCAGCTTCTCTCTTTTTTCTTTCACGTTATGTCGAAGCACCAGCATGAGATTTGACAGTAAGATAGACATACAGTACTTCAACTCTTCTCCCTCCTTTTCGAATTCCCCTGCATGACCATCTAGATGGTGGATGTCGCTCAGAGGCTGGGGGCTGCCTTGCAGCTCGAAGAGGCCGCACTCTGGACGAAACCGACTAAAGACTCCAAATCAAAGCAACAAGGAACTACCTCCAGGAAATCGTCCACTGCACCACCCCTGGGGTCTAACCAAGCTCTGGGACAGGCCATGTCTTCAGCAGCCAGCTACGCAAAGACCATGATCCCAGGTACCCCTGCCTATGTCCATTTGTACGCGCAACATCAAACTTCTCTTCTCTACATTCCAGCCGTTCATGATGAATTCCTACAAGTGGAAGCTACACACTAACAGTTTAACAGCCTCCCTCCTAGCACATGGAATGGATGTTTTGTCATCTAAGGTGGTTGGCGCCTTAGTGAAATGGAGAGTTAAGGCTAACTGTAGTTAGTTGGCCTTCGTGTGTTGATCCACTGCAGCATATGAATAGGGGCAGGCAAGGAAACAACATCCAGATTGTCTGAATTCCTTTACATTGCTTTAGAAGCTGTAAAATACTCCACTAAGGTTAAAGGAATCTCATTTTGTATAGAATTACAAGCATTGACAGAGAAAGCAAGATAGAAATACTGTACCCTGATCATTGTCTTAGTTTCATCAGGAAGTAACGCAGAAATTCCAGAGGGTGCCCATGTGCATTACTTTAAGGCTAAAATCCTCTACCCTGTTTGAAAGACAGAAGATAACATTATGAAGGAATCCGTGATCGTTTTCTTTTTTCAGGTGCTGGCAGTTCAAATCAGCTACCCAAGGGCCCCTCCTTGCCGATGGAGCCTAAGCCCGCTACAGAGGCTGCTCCTGAAGACGCTACATCTGCTGCAGAGGGGCAGGAGCAAAGTTCTAAAAGTGAGTCCACGGAGCAAGACCAGGAGACCTGAAGAGATGCCCACCAGTTTATGATACGGATCTCTAGCAGAGAAACCCCCCCCCCAGTACACACACACACCGATCCCGTTGAGGTGCCTACGAATTCTGATTGAGGTCCTTCTTTTCTGCATAATTTTCTTTTTCTTCTTTTTCTTTATATTATTAATAATAATAACTTGGGATAAGGTAAGGGATACAGAAGGTAAAGCTTTTCATGGGGGGACAAAAAGGAGGGGGAGGAGAAAACAAAATGTACTGACATCCAGTCTTTTCATGTTGCAATATCAAATCGACTTTCTGCTTTTCTACAATTTGATTGCCCTCGATTAATTTACATTTACACTCTAGTTTAAATCTCTGTTATTCTAGCACTATCTGGTGACTCAAGCCATTTATATAATTATTCAGTTGCCTTTTGTACTAGACAGTCTTTCAACACTTCTGATAAGATATCGATTTTTGCAGCTTCCCGTATCTTCTCAATAAGTTCCTCTTGTTTCAGTATCACCGATTTCTTCCAGTTCTTGGCACAAAGAATTCTGACTGCAGTGACCATATATAAAACTAAGTAGTTCTTTGTCTTATCTATATTGTCTGGTATAATGATCAGTAGAAACAGTTCTGGGGTTAGTGGAACATTAAAAAGCAATATTTTTTGTAACAGAGTATGTACTCCTATCCAATATTGTTTTGCTACTCTGCAAGTCCACCACATACGATAAAAGCTTCCCTCATGTGCTTCAGACTTCCAACAAACATTTGACACCTCTGTATAAATCTTTGACAATTTCCCAGAATCATATGCCATCTATAAAACATCTTGTATATGTTCTCCTTGAAATTAACTGATTTTGTGAGCTTTGTATTATTTTTCCATATTTGCAACCATTGATCAATATTATGTCCTATACTTTGTGCCCACCTAATCATTCTTGAACCATCTCGTCTTGCATTTTAATTTCTAACAAATAATCATACATTTTCTTAATTACTTTATCTTTTGAGCCCAGCAGAAGTTTATCAAATATCATTTGTTCTGGATAAAAGTCCTCTATTTGATCTTTTCTATACCTAGATTCCATTTGTGCTCTGGACCACCAGTCTATATATATATATGTTTTGTGTCTCTAACTCTTCTTTAGACCTTAACTCACAATCCTTTTTTAAATAAATCTTAATATGTTAGAAGTTTTGCTTCTATCATGAGATTAGGTTGTGTAAAGGCTTCTATAGGTGATACCCATACAGGTGTTTTTTGGTAAATCTGTTGGATGATCTTTTTCGAAGTCCCTAATAGGGCTCTTCTTATCATATGCGAGTTGAAATGTTTCTGCTCTTTATCTTTTTCGTACCATAGAAAAGCATGCCAACCGAACTGCAAATCATGTCCCTCCAAATTGAATAATCTATCATTTTCTAAGGTTACCCATTCCTTTATCCAGTCCAATACACAGGATCTATAATACAAAACCCAATCTGGGAGACCAAAACCCGCTGTTTGTTTGGCGTCTTCCATTGCTTTAATTTTAATTCTTGGCTTTTTACCCTGCCACACAAATCTCATAATTATCTTGTTAAGTTCTTGGAAAAAAAATACTTTTTTAATATTATGGGAATTGTCTGAAATAAAAATAGAATGTTAGGTAAAACATTCATTTTAATGGTTGCTATTCTTCCCATCAGCAATAGCTGTAATTTGTCCCATCTCTCCAAGCTAATCTGTACCTCTTTAATCAGCTTCATATAATTGTCCTTGAATATTTTCTTTGTGATTTGGATCCCTACGTATCTAACTCTTTTCTTCTTGAAAGTTAGCGTATGTAACTTTTCTTCTTGAAAGTTAGTCCTTTCTATTAGCTTCTGTTGTTCTTGTTCTCTCATATTTTTAACAAGTATTTTAGTTTTATTTTGATCCATTTCCATTCCTCCATATCACCAAAATTCTTCATAATCTCCATCAGGTCTTCAATTGAGTCCATTGCATCCTTAAAGGTATGACCTCTTTTGCCAACTCTCCATTGATGCTAACTTTTGCCTTTTGCTGGGTATTGCTAACTCTCCATTGATGCTAACTTTTGCCTTTTGCTGGGTACAGATTGCTTTAATTAATTCCAAAAATCTTTCTCCAATTTGTAGCACTTCCAATTGATGTAGCATAAAATTCCAATTCAGATTCTCAAAAGCTTTCTCTGCATCCAAGAATATCATAGCCATTTGCTTTTCTGGGTGGGCTTCATAGTATCCCAGAGTATTTAAGATTATCCTTATATTATTTTTCATCTGCCTTTTTGGAAGAAAGCCCTACTGATCTTGATGTATTGTCTGTATTAAAATTCTTTTCAATCTAGTTGCCAGCATGGTTGCATATATTTTATAATCCACATTCAGTAATGAGATCGGTCTGTAGTTTTTGATTTATTTACCCTCAGTGTTTTCCTTATGTATGAGAGAAATTATCACTTCGGACCACGTTGGTGGCAATTCTCCCTTTTCTTCTACAAATTCCAAGAGTTTCTTATATGGTTTAAACAATACATTTTCTAATTCTTTATAATATTCTGCTGGCAGACCATCTGGGCCTGGTGATTTCCCTTTATTTTTATATATATAATTCTGTAATTTCTGCATATGTTAAAGGCTCATTTAAGGACTGCATTTGGTCTTTAGTCAATTTCATTTTATTGTATTTCAGAAAATATTCTTTCTGAGATTCTTTGTCTATTTCCTTTCTATTGTATACATTCTAGTAGAAGTCCTCAACAATCTTTTTTATTCTTGTTTAAATTTCTCAGTCCCTATTTCATCTTTCAATGTTGTATTATTGTTTTCTCCTTCTCTTTCCTTAATTTATATGTTAACCATCTCCCCAGCTTGTTTGCATTTTCAAAAAAATTTTGCTTTGCAAATTTAAGCTTCTTTGCAGTTTCCTCAGTGAGCAATATATTTATCTGGTGTTGTACTAACTTTATCTTCTCTTTCAGTTCTGTATTTGTTGGGTTTTGTTTCAGCTGTAGTTCATCTGAGGCTAATCTGTTTTCTGAAATCTTATTTTTTTTGTTTTTCTCTTTTTTGTTTTGATGCAAATCTTAAGGCTGCTCCTCTAAAAATGTTATCTATTTCAGTGGTTCTTAACCTTTGTTACTCGGATGCTTTTGAACTGCAACTCCCAGAAACCCGTCAGGACAGCTGGTGGTGAAGGCTTCTGGGAGTTGCAGTCCAAAACTCCTGAGTAACCCAAGGTTAAGAACCAGTGATCTATTTCACCCTGGGATTTTTTTTCCCAGGATCAGATTTTTTTCCCTCTCTCTCAATTTCTCATTGTTGGCCTTGACCAGCCTGAAATTTAAAAGCTAGTTTCACTTTTGAGACAGCAGGACTGGTAAACAAGCTCGCCACTTCTTTTCGGCCAAATATTTTGCACTTTAGTTTCTCTTTCCACTTTGTAGGACTATTCATAAATCAAAGGCTTCCACTTACTTGTCAATTTTCAACACAGTATTTGTTTGTTCTCCTCTCGGGTGTGTGTGTGTGTGTTTCTCAGTTTCACTGCCCAAGATGGCTCCCACACCCAATCTGTGCTCGGGTGATCACTTCAGGGTGTGTGTGTGTGTGTGTTTCTCACAGTTTCACTGCCCAAGATGGCTCCCGCACCCAATCTGTGCTCGGGTGATCACTTCAGAGGGAGGGAATACCAGGTTGCTCCCCAGCTGACCTTCCTCTGTTGCTCACCAGCTGCTCCAGGGAGACGTCTCCTAGCCTCCCCTTTGGCTCCCCCCATCTCCTGAGGGACCTCCAGACTGGGCAGTTCCAGCTTTCCCCAGTTTGGTTCCCCCATCTCCTAAGGGACCCCCAGACTGGGCAGTTCCAGCTTCCCCAGGAGCTGCTGGCAGCACCGCGAGAAGCCCTGCCTTCTCCTCTGCTGTTATGATTTTCTGGTGGCACTGACTTGCCTTCTTGTTAACTTCTCAGAACTAGCCAGCAGTTATGGCTCAAGGCAGTTGGAGATACCCAGCGCTGTATTCCTGAAACATTTACTTGATCAGCATTGCCCGTTTCAAGTTGGGCTCAGATACAAACGCTTTAGCCACCAGTTCTGCACTTTCTGCCAATTAAGAAATCTGTGTGACCAACATAAATGAATGACTATCAGATCCCTTCTACAACTGGATTGGGTTTATTATTCCAGCTTATTTAGAAAAAAAAAAGAACAGATCTATTTTGTACATCAAGGGAGTTTTCAAAATGTAAGTGGTTGGTGAGAGTTAATAAATACTCTGAACCCCCTCCTATATATCTTATTTATTCATAAGTTACTTTGTATTGCATTTCTGCACTTAATGCTGGCCCATACCACAGTCTCAACATGGCAGATGAATAAAAACAGCCAGGGCTATGGAAATAGTTCAGAACACATGCAAAAAGGGGAAAAAAGGTTTCCAACAATGCAAATGTCACCAGATCTTGCTTCCTACAAAAGGAATTTGAAGTATGAGGCCTAAGATCTCAGAAGATCGTGAAGGTTCACAATGGTGTATAATAGGACCGGATAGTATCCATGCAGGATTGGTTTCAAGCCCCCTCCCTGCAGATAATAGTGAATTCTATACATAGCATGGGCTCTGGCTCCTTCTAATGGCCAGTTCTAGTAATTACATCATGGAACTATGCATTTCTAGGTTTTTCCATTTAATATTTTCAGACCAGGAGTACCTGAAACTGCACATACTGATCCCACAGATACAGTGGTCCTACTGTATATGCACTGGGCTCATTCAGTACCTTTGCTGGCACAAACATTTCAGCAGTCTCGGATGGAGCTGGTTGCCGTTCCTTCAGTAGCTTATGTCGACTGATGCCCGTGTAATCAAAGATGGACCTATCAGGTTGAAATAGGCAGGGACAGCCCTAGTAATAACCATTAGCATCGAGAAGCAAAGCTTGGGCCTAGGTGTATCTGCAGATTGCACACCTGCTTATGCACAGGAAATGTAACCTAAGGACAGACAGGCATGCCTCCCCAGTGGCAGCAGCTCTGAACCATTTTTATTAACTCGGAGTATAGCTTTCAATTAATTGATAGTCCTAGATTTGCTGTAGAGGACCACACTCCAAAGCAATCTTTTCCAACATTGTAGGTTCCAAGCACTGCATCATCATCAACTAATAGTGTCCAGTGCTTTTTGGATTTTTTTCCTGTATGTATGTTGCATTGTATTTGAATTAGGCCTCTATATCCATAAGCAGTCTCTAAAATCACTGTTAACTAGAACTTGAGCATGCAGCACATCCTGCACCTCAGCCTGAAGCTTAAACCCTAAATGCAAAGCAACTGTATGAAGTTTTCATGTGGTGTCACTTGCTAAGATAACGATCCCTTAGCAAGGTACACAACACCTCAGAAAAATGCTGGAAATGCAATTTGTTTTGAAACTCTGAACAAATGCTTGAGACTACCCAGCTAAAGGGACCATACTAACCATGTCTTAGTACGAAGTGGCTTCTGCTGGACCCGATAGTCACACTTTGAAAAACCATGGAGTGTAAAACCAAATGATTACAAGGGGACACCTCTGTAAATACAAAACAACATTTAGTGAAAACACCACCCAAAGTACAGAATATGACCTCTCAAATATTGCCCAGAAATACTTTCTACTTCACAGGAATAATGAAGGCTGAACAATCTGACAATAAAAATTCTGGCAAAATTGCTTTAAAGCATGCTTTTTAAAACTTTTACGTATCATGTCCATTCTGTCCCTGCTGTTATTCATGTGTAGCTTTCGTATCATATCGCAGGTGACTTTCACAACTGTATGCCTTGGCAACTATCTGCCACCAAAATAACAGATGTTGTGCACATGCTTTGTCCAAGTAAACTAAATCCCCTGATCCTTTGTTGGGTTTTGGGCTAGCAGGTCCCTGAGAAACTGTGGTGCACCAGAAAGCTGTAGCAATCTGGCTGCTCACGACAGAAACTGCCCTATTTGGAAGAGAAAAGTTCTTCCCACTTTCATATTTAAAAACGAAACAGTACATAAAGCAGTTGTGTTTTTGTTTGTTTGTTTGTTTCTGGAAAAGTTCTTCCCACTTTCATATATCAAAACGAAACAGTACATAAAGCAGGAGTTTGTGTGTGTGTGTGTGTGTGTTTTGCTAAAGTCTTATTTACTATCCATGGGGTTTCAGCCATGGGATGGATGCACCTACGTACTTCAGGATTTTGCTTTATGAAAGGTTTTCCTAGTGAAAGCTGAGTCCTAAGGAAAATGTATTTTATACAGAACCCTATTAGCATGAGGTCCTGCTCTTGCACACAGACACACAATTATTTCTGGGATTGACTTGTGGCCAAGTGAAGCGGCTTCCATCAGTGACTGCATTCTAATATACATCTGAAAAATTGGCCAGACCCAAATCTACTTGTAATATGGCCTGTGAAATTGGAAAACCAAACAGGAAGGCACCAGCACAGAAATAAATTTATCAAGACTCCCATGTTTGGAATATGTTTTTCAGATAATTTTTCAGACACAGTGAACTCCAACTGCATTCTTCTACTTCATAGGTGGGGAAAACAATTCTTCAGAGTTTGCTGGATGAAAAGTTCTATCAGCCCTAGTTATGTTAGTAGACCCTATGGTGTGAGAGGGAGAAGGGGAGTTAACCTCCGCTAACCTGAAGTATATGGAGGAATGGGACAAGTGTACTGATTCTGCTAACCTCCTCTCACAAGATTCTTGGTCCTAGAAGCCCTTCCAACAGTCTCAAGGATGAGCCACATGTCTGGCTGCGAGGAACTAATAAACGGAACTGTCTTTGTCCTTCTGCTCTCTCGCACAAAAGCAGTGTACTTAACAAAATGCTGCTCTGGTGAACAGTCGCATATGGACACTCCACACCTGGACTCAGGATGACAGAAAAAGTGCACGCAGCTGCAAAGAGGCAAGGTTGGGATCTTAGAAACTGCAGCTGGGTAATAAAATGGTTATCAGCAGGAGGGCACTCATTTGAGCAAGGCATTTTCACTGCAAGATGCCAAAGCCATGAGACGCCAAACCATTAACAGGCAGAACCAACTTCAAATACCGTTCACTGCAGAACAGGTGTAAAGAAAGGACCCAACAGGCAATTTTAAATGAGGAAGGAACACAGGAAACCACTTTTGCCAGGCAAGATCTAGCTCATCCAAATACTGCCTACTCAGGCAGCTGCTTTTTAAGCCTCTTCTCTAGTACTTGCTTCCTGATAATTTCAAAATGAATAAACCAGGTGTTGAATCTGACTATTCAGTAGTGACCTATAATTAAAAACACTGATTGATACTGCTGAGTCCTGTTTTTCAGCGCAGCGCAGAACCAGTGAAGGAGAGACTAGCAGTTCTCCACTGGAGGTTTGTAAACTGAAGGCTACTTGACTTAGTACCCCTGATCAGCCTATGGAAAACACACAAGCACACACACGTGTACACACAGAAAGAGTTTAAGGAATCACTATCTCAATTAATCCAGTGTAAGGGTGAAACTGTAGGTCATTTTACATATCCTATTGTGTGAGGTTCTTTATTTCAACAGACAGTGCAGGGAAAGGAGGGAATAGTCAAACCCCCTCCCCCAAAGCCCCTCTTTGTGGAAAACAGCTTCAGAACATCCCCAGCTGTGAAATGGCATTGGGGGGGGGAGAGGAAGCTTCCTGGTTCAGAACCGGAGGCCCTGAAACTTGCTCCTTGTGAAAAATATGGGGAATCTCTAGCACAAGGTTGAAAGAAGCATTTAAAGAAACATTTCATTTTAATAAAGCTCACATTTTTTAGCTTCCCAAATGATGCAAAACCTTCCGTTACCTCAGCTGGTGTGAATGTTAGGTCACATTTTAAAAAAGAAATCTGCAAAACCAGGCTGATCAGATAGTCTTCTGAGTCATTTTACATTTCTAATGTTCTGTGATTCTGAGAGCTTTGCAGATAATTTAAGCGAGAAATGGGATACTAAGTCATTGTAACAGAGGATGTCTAATTCAGATTCATCAACATTAATCCCACTCTGAGCAGCTTTCATCACAATTTAATGGCACTCTATGCCTTTTCAGTCCAACCTTTTGTTGAATTCCTCGCAATATTCCTCCATGGGTTTACAATAGCTTTTAAACCTTACAACCATGCTATGAGGTAAGTAAAGCCAAGAAAGAGACTTGTGCCCAAGATCACCTTGTGAGAATTGTATCCGAGGAAAGATTTTAACCCACATTCCTCTTTGGAAGCCCCCCCAATTTTACAGGGCTGTCACCCGACTTTGCCATCATCCTGAAGTCCACTTTCAGATCCTCCAGATGCTATGTAATTCTGCTATGTAAAGCAACTGGAAAACATAGTTAAATACAAAGTCAACATACATGACAGGCCAGGACAATTTCCTCAGCTAAGATGTAATTCTTGCCTGCGGTCTTGTGATTTAAAGTCACCAGCACAAACTGCCTGTTCTAGTCTGCAAAAGTTGTATGCGGCCATTTATTAGGAGTGAAGGAATCCTTGAAAGGCTTGTGCAATCCATTTCTTTGCTCTGACATTTGCCCTGGTGAACTGCCACTTGTTCCACATTATGAAAAGCAGGGAAGAGCAGCTGTACTGGAAATGCTCATTGGGAGCAATGACTCAGAGGTCACTGCCTAAGGTACAAACACGTCTGCTACTAAGGGGTAAGATAACTTGATATGCAGCTGCCTTGCATTATAAGAGTCTCTGTGTCCGTATAAATTCTTCTGACAGAAGCAATAAAACAAAACAGGAATGAAATTAGCATAAACAAGCCAATGAAGCTCATCTGATAAAATACCATTCTCCCAACCCCTGCTTTATTGACCTAAGCAAAAGAGCACCTAAAATTCAGCAACTTCCCGGGCCACAAAACAACATACAATAGCTCTAGAACAGATCTTTGTACTGTGAGCTGGGGAGAGTGCTCCCTGGAGTGCAGAACTTGAAGCCATACACATTTTGATCACTCAGCTATCACACGACTCTTCCCATGGTTGGAATGTGATAAAAGGGGCTAACATGATAAATGTTGCCTTTACTTTTCTGGAAGTAAGACTGAAAGATCAACTCATCCTTCCTGGAATAATTAGACACGGTGGTCTCCTCCTAGGGACCAGCTTTGGAAGTTATTGCAAGTAAGACTGGCTTGCTTAAAGCAAGAGCAGCTTTGTTTCAAGTTGTCACGCTGAGGTGGTCCTTATATTCAACAACTCATACCTCACCACTGAACTGTACATATCCTTGTGGCAAAACACAACAGCTGGTCTGTGTCTTAACTCTTATTCTTTGGTTCATCTACCAAATACTAACTTTCAATCCACGCCTGCATGGTTCAGATTTTGCAGAGGTTAAGTTGTTTCTGGTCTGCACGAGTTAATGAAGGTAGATTTCTGAATAAAGGAGTCCTTCGGCAGAAATGGCATCACCAAGACCAACGGTCCGCAGCGGATCTTTGCACACCAGAACGGGAGTGTAATAGAATGTGATCCCATCCCTGTGCCATTCCGACACTGGCTCGCCAGGATTTAAGGAAACTCGAGAGCCCTCTTCCATCTTAGAAGTGGCAAACTCCAGTGGTGCCTTAAGGAAGACTCTGCTGGCATCGATGGTTTGGGTGGCGCAAGCTTGCGTTCCTGCCACTCTTGCACCAGCCGCCACAGCTGCCACCTGGTTGGCCCAATACCCATCTACAGTTGCTAGGATGTGATAGGCCAACGTGTGGAAGTGGATCCGAGTAAGATCTGATGCCTTCTGAGAGGACCTCCCGTGGTGTTTCAAGATCCAGAAGAGGATATCACTGACCATCGCCACATCTGGGGTCCCATTCCAGGAAGTGAGTGAGGCGTAAGGTCCAGAAGCCGCTTGACTGAGGAACAGCAGCTCCTGTTCATTCAAGCCAATGGAGTCCACGAGAGGAAAGACCTGCTAACAGACAGAATTAGTGATAGGTTCGCCTTGGAGAGAACTAATACAGAAAGTCAAGAGTACAACAAGCAGAGCTCTATAGCCGTACAGTAACTTTATGAGTATATAAAAGTAGTGAGTCCCAGCAAGTTCCTGATTAACCCACTTCAAGGTGGAAGGCATAAGTATGCAACTAATTATGATGTGAATTATTCTAGTCTACTCCTAAGCAGGATGAGTGTTAGCTTTTATTCCTATGCTTGAAGAGAGCATTTTAAAATAAAAAAATCAAATGGCCAGCAAATCCATTAGTACTACTAAGTATACCAGATTTATCCCCTCTTCTTCTGCCCAGACAACCTGTAGCATTTTGTTCTTTTTCTTCAAGAAGGAACTGGAAGCTGTGAAGAACTTCTGACCTTGGTGAACAGGTCTTCTAGAAACTTAAACATGAAAGGGTTCTTGTTTTAGAATTTCAAGTGTGCACTCTGGAAGGAGGCTAGAGATTAAGTATATTTTCTCCAGAACCAAGAGGCTACCAAAAGGTATTAAAGCAAAGGGACATCCAGAAATGCTGCCAGTACCTGAATATCAGTGCACATCTCTATCTATCTAGTTTCCATGTCTTAAATGACTTGCTATATAGTTATGCCATCTGAAAGTCTTTGGAACTCATATTTAGGTAAAGACTGTCCCCCCCCACACACACAAGTCTTTAAAGGACAGTATTTAGTCCATTATTACTCATTAGCCAACAGAACACTCCTAACCAAACTACTTCTCCATATGTTAATGTGGGCTGCCAGTACCTGGATATCATTGCACATCTCTATTTATCTGGTTTCCATGTCTTAAATGACTTGCTATAGTCTAATTATGCCATTTGAAAGTCTTTGGAACTCGTATTCAGAAGGCCCAGAGACCTTCGGGTAGTGTGGGCGGTATATAAGTTAAATAAATAAATAAATAAGTAGGAAGGACGAAATCCCCCTTTCAGTTGCAGAACTTGACTTCAGCCAAAAAGCAATAAATGTGCCATGAGTGGGAGGGTGACTTAACTGGACTCTCTCCAATACCTGGCAATCAAAACAGTGTACAGTGGTGCCTCGCTTAACGATTGTTTCGTACAATGAAAAATTCACTTAACGATGGCTTTTTCAGAGTGATCTTGTGCTTCACTTAACGATTTTCCCTATGGGCGATTTTCGCTTAACGATTTTGGGACCATGCTTCACTTAACAATGACAGTTTTAGGTCCCCTTGTTTCGCTTAACTTTTTTTTTACAGCCCTGTTTTTGCTATTTTTAAAATATTCTAAAATGTTTAAAAATGTTTAAAACGCTTGAGGTTAACTCCTCCTGCTTGAGAAGGGCCAAGAAAAAAAAACTTCCAGTTAGGAAGGATGAAATTCCCCTTTCAGTTGCAGAAAGAAGAAAACTCTGGAAACAAAGCTCAAAAAAACTGGAAGGAATGGTGCCAATTCAACCAAACAATGGAAACAGAATGTCTGATTGAAAGGAAGACCTAACTTCCTCAGGCTACCATGCAAATGAAAGACTCATTCAGTCTCTGTAACAAAAGATATGTCAGAAAATGTCGCTAAGTTGGACGGAGCTGTTCATTTCACCTGGCAACCAAAACAGCGTATTTCACAATCCTATAATCGCCAGATAAGGGCAAAAAGGGTATTTTGCCACTCAGTTAAATGTCCTCCGGGGCACTGACAAGTTTAGGGAAGGGAAGCTTGCTGCAGCCCTGATGAAATGGGCTATGATTCCAGAAGAAACAGACTTATCCTGAGAACAGAAGGTAAGGGTTATGTATTTCATCACACACCGTTATCACGCTGTGTGATCACACACAGTGCACCATCACACAGAAACCTCCTTGAAGAATTCTGATGGGTATGTCTAGATTATGCAAGAGATAAACGTATGTCTTATGGGACATTAGGATGTCCCCTGGTTGGATGGCATCTGTCATCAACCGAAGATACACAGTGCACCATCAGATACACAGAAACCTCCTTAAAGAATTCTGATGGGTATATCTAGATTATGCAAGAGATACACGTATGTCTTATGGGACACTAGGATGTCCCCTGGTTGGATGGCATCTGTCATCAACTGAAGAACTGCTATTCCGAACCTCTACTTTCCTCTGAGACCTGTTGATGAACTTGAGGCCTAATGTTGCATGTCAACTGCCATCTGTTTTGGACCCTGTGGCAAACATGGAGGCTGGGTGGCATATATCTCCTGGGACCACTTCAAGATCAGAGGCATCCCTGTTGCTGAGTGAAAAGACAGCTAAGGGAGCAAAAAATAAGGACAGAAAACCTCTTGGGAGAAGAAGAAGCAGACAAGGAGAAGAGACGAACGTGGAATTACTGGGAAAAGAAGAGGGCTCCTCGGAGCAACCCAGGCATCCTGCCATGCTGTGCTTCCAGGAAGACAAAAACTTGCCTTGAAGACCAAAGAAGGCTCTCCTTGGTCCAGGGGCTGGCCATGTTATGGGTCCATTTGTGCATGGTACTGGGTTTCACGCAACCGGGCTTATCAACGAAGGTGTACTGCTTTGGAATGCCATCACAGAAGTACTGTATTCTGAGGGCAAGAGGCACCAAGGTGTAAAACCAGTCCCCATGTGAGAAGTGTTGCTTTGGAGCAGCTGAAAAGACACAGAAACACTACTTCTTTTTCTCTCATTCCTGCCCAATAATGGAGGGGTAGACACCTGGGGCAGCAAAGGAGAAGCCACCCAATAAGAAAGATGTGGTAGGCAATGAAGAACCGAATAGGCTATTGCTCCTGAAGTTATTCCAGAGGAACCCAGGAATCTTGCACTCCTCATGAAGACAGACTCAAGATGGAAAGGGTTTATTTTTGCTTTTTTTTTGTCCTTGCCTTCTTCAATGGGAGAAGTTAACTTTCGCTATTGGCTCTACTCTATCAATAGTCAAAAAGGTTCATTTATTGGGAGACTATCATGCACCCTCCCATTGTCATTACCTGATGTATGATCTCACTCATGAGTTCCGGGTCTGTCATACTGGCCAGTTCCAGATGTACAGGAACATCTGTGGGAATGTCAGAAATGGAAGCTACAGCCTGCAGAAAGCATGGGGGAGGGATTTAGGAGTAATAAAAAGAGAATGGCCTAGTTCGCAAATGTATTATTACATATATAGCTGAAGTGGTCAGTTTAAAAAAACTTTATACATTTGTTGTATTTATTTTTATTTGATTTTACTACATTCAGCAATTTGAATGCTATTTACAGGCAAACAAGCAGGATATAAATGTGATAAGTAATCTTCTAAAGCTGCAATCTTACACACTTACATCAGGCGTGTTTCTTAACAAGGCTTACTTGCAATTAAGACACATGGCATGAAAATGAAGTATCTGGTATATTCGAGAGAGCACTTTATATGACGAGAGTATGAATAGACTATAACCCACACCCACATACTGAAGAACTAGATTGGTTTCTATTTGTTTATTTAATCCCCCCAAAAAGGCACCTTGAAAGCAGAGTTCAGGAGGAAACTAAAGGCTCTGGCTCTTACCTCGAGGAGTCTATTCTGACGTATCTCCTGGGTTTGTCCCTCCATCATATGCAGTCCTGAGAGCACCACCAGGTCTGGCTGGAACTCCTCCAGACTAGACACAAATACTTCAAGCATATTCATGGCCCCATTAGACAAGTCATGGGAGAAGATGAAGCGGTTGGCATTTGGAGCTTTCAGCTGTCCCCACTCTTCACCTGAGAAAGAGCCCCCCCAACACACAATTATGTGGGGTTTCTATAGATAGTCCTTTGCATCCCTTAAAGTTGTTATAATATCATTTCATCATGTGGTTAACAGGACAGCAGTAAATTATCCCCCTTATTGCAGCATGTAGGGCAGGAACATTTCTTGGCCTTATTTCCCCACACCTCTATTCCACAGTGTGATTTTCTGCACAGAACCCTTTTTCAGGAATTGGATTCCCTCATCATCATTTTGCTAAAATCACCAATCACCCTTGTCTTCAAAACTGTAGTTTGGAGAGGTGGTATGAAGACAGGAGTGTGGAGAGGGGAAGTAAACATGGTGGGACAGAGAATGAAAAGGGCAGAGAAATTGGCAGGGAAAGGGGGGGTGTCTTGTGGGAAAATATGGCTCTTTTCATCCTGTGAGTGGATAAGCTGGAATAAAAGAAGTTGAATGTGTGGATGTTCAGTGCAAATAGTACCATTTTGAACCATGAAGAAGTGTGTGTGTATGTGTTCTGTTCTGTCACTGTAAGTCAGAACCAACCACTGTAAGTCCTAATAGGCTTTTCAAGGTGAGTGGGATATTTAAGGAGTGGCTCTATCATTTTCACTCTCCGAGTGAGTTTCCATGGCCAAGTGGAGATTCGAACCCTGTTCTCCAGAGTCCTAGTCTATCCACTAAACAACATAGGGACCCCGAAGCAGGAAACTTGAAATCACACAATCTGGGCAAGTCCTCAATATGTTTTGAGAAAAACCCAGCAAGCATTTTCTCTCACTGCAATGTAAGACAACTAAATCAGAAATAATTCTTGATTCTTATCATTAAAGACAAGAATTTATAATTAGATTGAAGGAATCCCGGGACATGGGCTTCCTTTGGATCCTTTTGGGGGGGGGCACATGAATTTGATTAGCTAATTTTTAGCATGCAAACACACTGCTGTCAAATACAGTAGAAACACTGCAGCAAATAGGGGCAGAAGAGCATTGACAGGGCTCTGGATCAAATGGAAAGCAAAAGTTCTCAAAACACATCAGCTCCTTCTTCACCTAGCAACCGACACAGCCACAGGAAACACAGCAGTACTACCAGATTAAACTCCAACACTGGCATCTGCTGCAATTGATAACTGAGATGGCTCTTAACATCCCTTAACATCACAACTTGACACAGGAATAATCAAGCTGGAGATACATTAGGATTTCACATGTTACTATTGTGACATCTAAGCAATTTTTTAAAAAAAAATCCACACACTTGCAAAACTGGGAAGTTACTGAAATCTGCCAAAACAAATGCAGTCCTCTTCGGCAAGCATCCTAGACACTTCAAAAAGAAAGGATTAATCCACTCTCAAACCTTGAGAACATTCAGTAATCATCAAGAGACATGAAGAATGCTTCCCTAGGGAAAAATATACTGTGAAGACAAGCACTACACATTATAGTCTTGTTTAGAACAAGAAACGCTTCCAAGGCTCCAACAAGAATATCTGCAATATTAACATTCCCCTAAGAGGGCTCTCTGCCTCATCACTAAAATGCTACCCCATTGAAGATAAAAAGGCATTAATTTAAATGCTTGAAACTTCTGCTGCTTGAAAAAGAAAACACAAAGCTATCCTTAAAGTTATCAGAATAGACTAATACTTTCCCCCTGCTGCCCCCCGCGATGACTGCAATTTCTTCAAAACCCAGCTCATGTTTATGTTCTGGAAGAAACATGTAGCAGTGTAATGTTTTCAGGTTTTTGTTCGGAGCTTACAATTCAACACCAAATACAACAATCCTGGGCATTTCCTCAAACTTTCTCTGAATCGGGGATTAGTTCCCCAATTCAGCTATCTATCTATTTATTTAGGAAATTTATATCCCACCCTATATCCTGAGATCTCAGAATACAACAAGAACAACATAAAATAATTTAATATTTTAAAAGCATTGAAAACCATTTAAAATATTTTTTTTAAACTTATACACATTAAAACAACAGCAGCAGATGAGCTTCTATTGCCTTTCAAAGTAAGAACCTTAATCCCCAAAGGCTTTGGTGTATAACTATGTTTTAACTTGGGAGCGAAATGAAGTAAATGGCAGTGGAGCCTCTATGGGAAGAGAATTCCATCCTGGAGGTATTACAGTGGAGAATGCCCTCCTTCAGGTCTCTTGAAAACAGGACCCAGAAAAGCCCTGTGATCAGGCAGGTGTGTATAAGGAATGTGTTCCCTCAAGTATTGACATCCCAAGCCACTTAGTGCTTTGTAAATCATCATCAACACCTTGGACTCAGATAAGAAGTGCACTTGCAATCAGTGTAATTCTTTTAGAGCTGGTGTCATACGGACTGTGAAAGGTGTTCCTGATAGCAGTCTGGCAGTTGCATATTGCACCTCTGTCATTTCCAAGAGCAGCGGTACTTAAGTGCATTAAAGTGGTCTAACCAGGAGGTTACCAGTCTTGAAAGATGGTAGCTAAGTTGCCCCTGTCAAGGAATAGTTGCAGCTGGTTAGTCAATGAAAGACAGCCCCCAGGTATCCTGAACACTATGCTCCTCTGAGCCTCAACCGACAAAGATGGCTGAAGGAGTACTCCCAGACTCTGGAAGTGCCACCTCCTCTGAAGGTTAGTCTACCTAGCTCTCAGATATGGGAATCACTGAGCAACAGAGCCTACGTCTCCCTTTGATTCAATTCCAGTTCACAGGCCATTATCCAGTCCGTTACAGGCTCCAAACAGCAATTCAGCACATGAATAGCCTCAGCTGGCTGCTGACAAGGAGGAGAGTCGGGTGTCATCAGCACACTGATGGCACTAAACCCCAAAAGTGTGAATGACTTCTTGCAGCAGCATTATATAAATATGGAACAGCATGAGCTTAATTGCCATAGAAATCCCCAATGGCCACCCTCTGGAAGGGTCCCAGCTATACAAACAGAATAAATGCAACAGTGTGCTGCCTATTCCCATTCCACAGAGCCGGTCCAAGAGATATTACGATCAATGGTGTCAAAATTTGAGGAAAGATGCGGGAAGACGAAGTGGTCTTCATTCTCCTGTCCTTACTCTGGAGCATACCACTGCTCAGGGCAACAAAGTATGTTTTCAATGTCATTCCTAGTCTGAAATCAGACTGAAACAGGCCCACTGATTAAAGGTCAATCAGTGCAGAATACCTGCACTGTCAAGGTGCATGTGATTTGTACATGATCAAAAGTCATGGACTCCCTCAAATGGCAAAAAAAACCCAACTATAACCAGCCTATAACCAGAGGCAGTTTGCTACTGCTGATGGTATCATCATTGCACATGCTATATTGTGCAGCAGGATTTCAACCCGTGGCAAGCAAAAGTATTTTTATAAACAATGTGACACATTACAGTGGTGCCTCGCATAGCGACGTTAATCCGTCATCGCTATGTGATATTAAAAAGCCCATAGAAACGCATTAAAACCTGTTTAATGCGTTCCTATGGGCAAAAAACTGACCTTAAAGTGAAGATCCTCCATACGGCGGCCATTTTTGCTGCCTCTAAAGCGAGGAATTGGCGCGAAAACACAGCGGGCGGCCAGTTTTTTAACCTGCCGGCCATTTTGGAACCGCTGATCAGCTGTTAAAAAATCATCGCTTTGCGATGATCGGTAAAGCGAAACAGGAAACCAATCATCGCAAAGCAAAAAAACCCGCATAGGAAACATCGCAAAAAGTTCGTCGCTATGCTGTTTCGTCACTAAACGGAGTGCCCATTAAGCAAGGCACTACTGTAGTTCCACTGTGAATTTATTCTGCCTTTTGTAGAATTTTACAGAACATGCTCAGCACTTGCTTTAATTTCTCCCTCTCATTTAAACTTAAGTTTTTAAACTTAAGTTCACACAGCAGACATTTTTAAGGGTGAGATCGTGCAAATTTTCAAATTTGGGGATAGAAAAGGGGAGTTCGTCTTATACATTGGGTCATCTTATAAACCAAAAACATGGTATGATGAAGAGGATTTGTACCCCGCACCAGATGGCAACTAGGCCACTCTGGGCAGCTGGCCACTCAGGGATACATGTATGTTTAAATGGATGACTTTCCCTGGAGTCACTCTGCATATTTTGACATTTTTAGACCTAGGTACTTTCTCTATCCAAGTTCAAAATACGAATTTTCATGTGATGAATTTCTTTCTCTCAGTATGATGCAGTGCAACCTCTCATTGTAGTACAACCAATTCAATGCTAATTGTAAATGGCAGGATATTTCATTAAAGAATTTATCAGGTTTCCCAAAGAAACTGAATAACTGAAATGCATCTTCCAATGGGATAAACATGCACTTTAGAATATATTATTCACAAGAAAAGGATTCATTTTTACTGCAACGAGATCAGTTCAGTATTCCACCTGTAGTACTATTAGGCATCCAGTGCACTATCTTCTCAGAGGGGATTCTTATCTCGCAGCTCTCTTCCAAATAATTCCACATCTGTGAGTATACCAGTTTATATTTGTAGCTTTCCAAACATATACTTTACCAAAAACATCCTGAAAGGCAACCGGAAATTGAATTTCCTAGGATTACCTTACAACATTTGTAACATTTTAATGTGAAACCAGTTATGTAATCATGTAACACACTTGGAAAAAGTTGAATAATTTTTAACCTGTCATTCAACACAAAAAGATACAAAGCTATGGACTGTAACTTTGTATCTTTCCATGTTGACCAAAGTAGATCTCTTATTTAATGGATCATCTATTTTTGAATTAACGTTGTTTGTATACTACTTAGAGGCAATACACCCACTTTTACTAGGTGTTTGCAGTCCTTACGTGCATTACCTCAATCATCCTTACAACCACAATGTGAAAATAAACTATAAACATAATCACCCTCCCATTGCATGAGGCTGAGAGACACTCAGTGGGTACGCTATAAAGGCCAAAACATATGGCTTAACAGGTAAGACAACTCCTTTCATAATCTTATTAATATCTAATGAATCAGTGGGGCTTTCGTCATTTTCCAATGGATCGTACCTGCTCGATATTCCAAAATAAGGTGGAATTCATCCAGTTCTTGCATTGATTCAGGAGGGACAATAACATTTTCATCAAGCAGTTCATGGAGTTTAGGACCAATTGGGCCACACAGCAGAACCTACATGGCAAAAAATTAAAATACCTTATAGTTAGTTTCCCTTTCTAATGAAATACAGAGATATGGACCTCCCCAACACAAATTAATCCTACACATTTAAATATATTTGTGTTTCCGTCTTGATCTTATACAGATATATTAAGTGCACAATTAAAGTGCACCTTACTTTTATGATTAGAACATTTCAGATTAGAATACCTATACCTAACAAGTTTCTGGAAACTCTCAAGACCTTTCCAAAAGAACATTTCATCTCAAAGTGTGGAGGGAGGGGTGGGGGGTGGCGGCAGCGAAGGAAGTTATTTAGCAAGCAGGGTGCCAGCACTGGCAAGCAGATGAGAAACAGGAAATATATTTTTGTTCTTTACTACTAACAACAGTAATAAATACTCCATGTTAACTACTGACAACAAGAACTGGAAAATGTACGCACTTGCATTCTATGCCATCTGATACCCAACCTTACCAGAACTGATTTCAACTCTGCTCTTCTTCAAGGCACTAAAATGTTAGAAACAGGCCCCTGAAGAAGGCTCAGCCTCAGAAAATGCTGCCATCTTAGTAACACTATTTTCACTTGCATCGGTACTGCTGCATTCATTAGACGGCAAGATCTTTATCAGTCAATGTTGCTGCAGCTGCTTCTCCTTTCAGCTCATGAGAAATGCAGGGCTGAGGAATTTTTGTATTGAAGATGCTGAACTTTCAACACCTCGGTTTCTTGCCCTGGGAACAAACCTAGCAGGTTTATGAAACACCTCCAGAGGGCTCCAATATGTCTACATGGTAGGAGATCGAATTTCTAGGCTCCATCGAGCCACAAAACTCACCTAAGCTTGCACTAGTCATTCTCTCAGCTTGACTATCTCACAAGGCTACTGTGAAGATAAAAGCAGGGAGGAGGAGAGCCATAGATATTGTCCTTAGCTCAATGAGAGAAAGGCAGGATGCAGGTGCAAGAAATGTTGAACTTCTCCCTTCTGTCATATTAATGGCTTTAATCCATGTATCTGCATCCCAACTGAAACAAAAATCAATTTATCTGTTTTCATTCATACTTTGTTATCCTTGCTCTACAATAATTCCAGATTTGAAATTAGACTGCGAGTTCCTTGGGACAAATACCTATTGTTTGCATATGTTAGTACACAGCACAATGTACACCAGCATCACTACATGGATAGTGCCTGACTAGTACAAAGAATTCCAGATGCTTCCCAATATGGTCACCTAATGTTTATTCTGTTGTGAGACTTGGCAAAAGCAACAGTAGTCAGGGAGAATACTGGATGCCTTTTGATATGAGAACTGCTGGATAGCTCAGTAGTTTAGGCATCTGGCTAGTTCGGTTCCCCACTGTGTCTCCCTGACAGGAGTTGGACTTGATGATCCATAGAGTTCCTTCCAGCTCTGCAGTTTCAGGATTATATGACAAATATGCATCTTAAATACAACATAAGAGGTAGTGAGTAAGAACTCTTCCCACATTCTAAACAGTTAGTGCGAGGTTATTTAAGGCCTTGCTTCTGATTGCATTTCACTTCATATGTCTGTTCACATTTGCCCACTGAAAGCATCTTCCCACATTCTCTTCCTGCGCGCTAAATGCTGTTTTCTTCACCATGTAATGCTTACCATAGTCAATGGTCTGATTTATATATTAGAGTAACACATTTTAACATGTGCCTGCATCATTCAGCTAGAGATGCTGAGGGTTAGTACCAGTTACAAAGTCATAAAGAAATCCACACAACTGTCCTAGTTTATACAGTGGTACTTATTTCACACATCATTCTGCAAGATCTTGCCTGTGTGTTCTTCAGGGCCTTGCAAAGAAGCATAATCAAAACAAAGCCACAGCAGGGCCTCAAGAGACAGCAGCTGAAATGTACAACAAATGGTATTTATAGCATCTGCAGGACATGAACCGATATGGTGAAAAACCTTTCTGTATTAGGATTGTATGTGCACTGGGTAAGCAGGGGAAGACCAAGCAGATATTATTCGCAGGGTCTGTAATATGAAAATCAATGAGCAAATTAAATATAAAGTTATAAACAGATCAATGAAGTCTGTTGTTGCCATCCTTACCTTAAGATGTGGATTAGCTGCAATTTTCTGGCCAATGAGAGCAGCATTACCTCCCACATATAACTGTAAAACAGTTGAAGCACACATTTGATCTGCAATGTCAACACTGACAGAACTACAGTCCTTTGCATAGTTTGATATCTGCACAGTCAAGAATATAAATATCTAGTTCTCTGTGGAATAACTATGTCTCATAATTAGAAATGAGCACAAACTGCTGGTTTGGTGAGATGTTTCCCAGTGAAATAACTGAACTAGGTTTGGCACCCCATCCCCTCCAGAGGGCACCCCCTCAGTGGCAGCACTCAGCCAGTCCCCCCCAATATTTGCTTCCTAGAAGACTTAAAAAAATGGAATCAAATGTTGGACATGCCCCATGCTGCCCACCCGACTTCAAGGAAGTCTCCAGACTGTGCTTTTTTTACTAACTCTCCAGAGACAGAGAATGGCAAACCTACAGAAGCTAAATAATCAAACAGGAAAGCAACAAAGAAGTTATACTGCCTCAACCACTTTGTAGCACAGAAGAGACCTTAGATGCTGGCACTATGTAATGGGTCACAGAGGCATGAAATTTGTTTCAAACTAAGCAATGTACCTGTGCCCCAGGATACTGAGAAGCAGTCTGTGCAATCTGATGGAACAACTTTGCATTACTAAAAAAGCGTTCTGCAGCAGCTCCTTTCCCCATAAAGTAGGTGAATGCTTCTTTTAGATCTGTTGCGGAATGCAGGACTGAATGGTCTTGTCCAGTCCCAGAATCTAGGCCAAGGGCCTGCAGCAGCTTTACTCCAGAAAGGACCACATCTACACAGGCATTGACTCTGTATGAAGAGAATAAAAAGGTACAGTTTAGGTCATCTCTAATGTACAAAGTGTAACAAAAAAGAGTGGTCGCAAGACCAGATAGGGGGGATATAAATAAAATAAAATAAATAAATAAAAATTCTCTTGCACATGCTTTGAGCAAATAACTGAAGATTTTAGCAGAAAAAGGCAGGAAATCCTTTTGGAAAATAAATAAAATAAATAAATAAAAATTCTCTTGCACATGCTTTGAGCAAATAACTGAAGATTTTAGCAGAAAAAGGCAGGAAATCCTTTTGGTACTCCTTACTGACTTGCAGTGTAATCCATGCGACTTTGTCGTTGTTTAGTCGTTAAGTCGTGTCCGACTCTTCATGACCCCATGGACCAGAGCATGCCAGGCCCTCCTGTCTTCCACTGCCTCCCAGAGTTGGGTCAAATTCATGTTGGTAGCTTCGGTGACACCATCCAACCATCTCGTCTTCTGTCGTCCCCTTCTCCTCTTGCCCTCACACTTTCCCAACATCAAGGTCTTTTCCAGGGAGTCTTCTCTTCTCATGAAGTATTGGAGCCTCAGCTTCAAGATCTCTCCTTCCAATGAGCACTTAGGGTTGATTTCCTTCAGGTATCCTTCAGTGGCAGATGCCTTATGTTAGCAATCTGGTCTCTAGTTCGACTGCCCCTCTGAAATCCAGCTTGTACTTCTGGGAGTTTTCGATCTACATACTGCTGAAACCTACCTTGTAGGATTTTGAGCAAAACCTTACTAGCGTGTGAAATACTCTTGCATGAAATATCATGCGACTTACTCTCAAGTAAAGATGTACAACATTGCAGCTTTCGCAAATTACTAAACATCTGACTTTTTGTACATTCAACAGTTGAAAATCAGGAGCTTTTTGTATATCTGCATTAATTCTGCTACCCTTCCTAGTCTCTTTCTTCCAATTTCTTGCCTGCATTCTCCAATTTGGATTGATGATAATAATATTCTGAGAACTACAGAGCTTGAAAGTACCCACACACACAGAGAGATCATGGAGTCCAGCTCCTGCCAAGGTGGCACATGGGGAAACTCCCAAACTCTCACTCCACAGCCAGATACTTAAACCACTGAGCTATCTAGTAGTCATTAAAAAAACTTCTAAACTGTCTCACTTCCTTCATTATCAATGTTAAAGTTGTGTAGTTCTTCTGTAATCATGATTTTTATCTTCTTAATCCTTCTGCTTTGGCTGGTTCTTATTTCACTTTCACTAAAAGTCATTTCAGGTCATTGATCAGAATAATCACTAAATCTATGTAGTGTTTTCTGTTTTCAACAACAACAACATTTGCACATTACAGCTTTAAAAAGATTTTAAACCTGCAGTGTACAACCTGTTTTTCCCCTAACAACCAGGACTTAAAGCAGCTGTGATTCAATATGACCAACTGATCTCAAAGTTACTTCTGAGTAGCAATATACAGAACTGCACTGCAAATTTCATATGCAAAGAGAACTATGAGCCTGATTTAATTAAAAGTAAATGCAAGCTCTACTGCTAATGTCACTGGCCAGAATTTATTTATCTTAAAGGAATAGCAGTCTGATCACTTACACCAGTGAACATAAGCAACATTCTGGCCATGGAATGTCGCTTTGAGTACATGCAAAATTCTTCTTCACCGCCATAAAGAAAGGTGGACTCCTAATCTCACCTTTTTGGATCTTTCAGGCACTCTTCAACCAGCAGCTAAACTGGGCAGTGGAAGCACTAATCTTTCTATGGTGATAACTTTAAAACTTTAATCCAGGAAATCCTCAGAATTACCAGGTCCAACAATGGCAGACCACCTTCTGCACAAGACAACTTGTCCATCACTACTTGATTGTCCCCTCCCATGTGCAATGATGTGTGAGTATGTTAGGCTTTCTCCTAACCAACAATATGCACCAAAATATGTTTCCTGGAATGTCCTGCAGATGGAACGTGCAAGGCTCTTCGGCAGACAAGATGGAGGGAAGTACTCAGAGCGGACACTTAGGTAACCAACAGAGTAACACAAGACAGCCACTTACCCAACAGCAACTCGATTCCACTGCTTGGCCGGTTGGGTAATAAGTGCATCCCAGGCAGCTGCCATCCTGCTCTCTGGAGATGGAAGACCACCCCGGACGTTGTACAAGAAGACACCTGAGAGATACTCCAGCACTGAATCTGGAAGCTCAGGGTCTAGCAAGAAAACGTAGCCTGTAGCAAGGGCCAGCAAGGCCACACATACCGATTTGTGCCACATGCTGATCCTCAGAAGCTGAGATTAAGAATGCACCATGGTGAGAGATTTATATGGTGATTTTCTCCACTCCTGGCAGAAACAGAAAATTGCTTTCCTCCATAATTCCTAGTTCCATTGATTCTTCTTCACCACCTATAAAGAAATATTTAAATAGGAGCAGTATGAGTTTTTGAAACTGATCTAGATGCAGTTCTCTAGCCTTTTTCTACCCTTTGTTTCCCTCACCCCTTAATTTATTTTAAAAAAATTATACCTCTTTCTTTTTCAGATATTCCTTTCTAAGCTGCAACATTATCTACTTATCTACAATATCTACTTAACTTCTGTAAAGCAACAAATTATAGGAATTGGGAACCTGGCTACAGAACTAGGATTATGTGAGGGACAGGTCCGGTCTTAAGGGAAGTGATGAAAAATCTCCCACTACCATCATCAAAGTCCAGGAACCTCTAGGGACTCCACCTCATTACTTTTTCAGAGAGGTTCCAGATTTTTCTGAGGTCGAACCACTGGGTCCATCAGTACTGTCTAGTTCAGAACTGTGGAACTTGTCCCCTTCCGAATGTTGATGAACCAACTCCCCTCAGCCCCCTACCAGCTAGTGGAATTGTGAAAGATTATGAGACAGCTATGTCTGATGAGCCAGAGGTTCATTTTTAAAAAAATTGATTTCTATCAAGTCTTCCAACTAATGAACTTCATATGTCCCTCAACCCCCCCCCAAACACACCTCTTTTCCCCACATTATCCTCACAAAATCCCCTGTAATTAATGAATTAAAATATTTTTACCCTGTCTTTCTCCTTTAAAAAAAAAGGACCCAAGGTGGCTTACATTAGTAAAGCCAGTCATTGAGGGAAAGCTTGCAGAAGAGAAAGGTCTTTTGCCTACTGGTGGAAGGACATCAAAGACGGGGCCAGCCTGGCCTCCAGTGGGAGAGAGTTCCAGAGTCTGGGAATAAAAACTGAGAAGGCCCTTTCCCACGTCCCCATCAAAAGCACCTGTGAAGGTGGAGGGATTGAGAGAAAGGCCTGCCCTGATGTTCTTAACAAAGCCTGCCCTGATGTTCTTAATAGGCAGGCAGGCTCAGAAAGGGAGACGCGGTCCTTGAAACAGCTTGGGCCCAAACCCTTTAGGGATTTCCTGCCCTGATGTTCTTAACAGGCAGGCAGGCTCAGAAAGGGAAACGCGGTCCTTGAGACAGCTTGGGCCCAAACCCTTTAGGGATTTAAAGGCTAGATGTGCAGTCTAGGGCTGCGCTGATGAACTCCAACTCCCATCAGCCCCTACCAGCCAGGCCAATAACAAAGGCCTGCTGTGCCTGAAGGGCCATTTTAACAAATGTCTTAAATTTCTATCCACCCTTTCAATTGCAGAATTTCATTTCTTCTCTCTCCCCCCTCCTATGAACCTGCCTCTCTTTATTATCCTCACAACAACCCCGCCAGGCGGGCCAGGGCCTGGCCTAAAGTCCCTTAGGGAGCCTCACAGTTGAGGGAAGGGGCCCAGGGAGCTGCTCTAACCACTACACCGCCCTGCCGTGTCCCCCCCCTCCACCGGAGGCCTCCAGCCAGAACCCTGTTCCTCCAGGACCCGACCCCTTTCTTCAGGCAAAGCATGTGGGGCAGGGGCCTTCCCCCCGCCGCCCCACAAACCTAGGCCGCCTGAGGCTCTCCTTGACTCGCAGGGGCTCCAAAGCGCGGGCCCGCTTTTACCTCAGCCGAAGGAGAGGCCCGGCCGGGTGGGTTCCCGCTCTCCCTCAAGCCCGGCTTAAGGCTCCTCTCGGGAAACAGCCGCGTGTCTGGCAAGGAGGAGCCATCCCTCCGGGGTTGACGGAGCCCGCGCCTTCCCCACAACCCGCCTCTCCGCCCCCTCCTCCCGGGCCGGGTAACAGCCACGTCTCCCTCAGGAAGGCCGCCTCAAAGAGGGAAAGGCCTCTGCTACGCTATCTCCGTAGGCACCGAACGCTGTGACGCGGCCTGTCCCGCCGTAAATTCGATTGGGGAATAACGCAGCGCCTCTACGGAAACATCGTTAACCGTCTCCGTACGGCTGCTTTAGCGCCACAGGGCGGGCGCTCTCCGTATCGCGCAGCAGCCTTTGGAGAATGAGGGTAAGGCCTCGGGAGTCTTGCCAGTTAGCTGCCAGTCAAACGGAACATACCAAAAGCAAGAACGAAGGGGAGGAAGAAGAGGAGGCGAAGAGGTTTGTGAAAGGCTCGACAAGTGGAATGCGCTGAGAATAAAGGAATTAAAACGCCCTCCGTGGAAGAGAATAGGCTCGGGACAAACCATCAGGGCAGGGGGGGTGGAAAGGTCGTGGAATGTACCATGAGGGCCTGCCATGGGAAGGCATGCATTGTTATATCATGGATATTCTCTCTCTTCTGCTGTGTAAACTCGGTTTATAGACGGTGCCCTTGGCTTGGAAGATATGGGAGCGAAGAGATAGGAAATGCTATCATCGACTGATGGATTTATGATACCTTTAATCCTGACTCTCCACCACAAAAGTCTTGGAGAAAGCTGAAAAACTAAGGATTGCTCTGTTTTAATTTCCAGGAGGCTCTGCTGTAACCCTTCAAATCATTCAAACAAAACAAAAAAAGAACAGAACAACCCTATTACTGGATAAACACACACACACAGGAAAACATAAAATGCACAGTGAGAGAGAAAGAGAAGAACAGTAAAAAACTGTTCAATAAGCTGCCTTGACTGCTTTTTAAGGAGAAATATTCTAAATAAACAAATAAAGCTCTTCTTGTATCTTAAAAGCTAGTCAATTTCATTTGGCTTACATTACAACCTTCTAGGCAGACCTTCCTTCTGCTATTTTTTCAGCCTAGGCTACTTTACTGTGGACCCTCCATTTACGGAATTGATCCGTATTGGAACGGTGGCCGCAGGTCGAAAAGTCTGTAGGTCGAGGCTCCATTGACCTACAATGCATTGAAAACCGATTAATCCCGTAACCGGCCGTTTTTGTTCTGTTTTGGGTTTTTTTCTGGTCTGCACGTCGATTCTCCGGCTGCAAGTCGAACCTAAATTTTGCGGCCGGAGAAGTCTGTGACTCGAAAAGGCTGTAAGTCGAGGCGTCTGTAAGTCGAGGGTCCGCTGTACAGGGTTGTTGTGAGATTGGAAACACACTGCCCCTGAGCTGCTTGGAAAAAGTATAAATACAGCGAATAAAGGCTCAGGCTCGCAGGACAGACTAATAAGGACCGGTGCTGAGCAGATAGGTTTCAGGAAAGGGCTCCCACCATTGTGGGATTCCCGTAGCGAAGCCTCTGGTGACTTTGCTGCCCAGTAGAACTGGGTTGACCGCCGAAGAATTGATGCCTTTGAATTGTGGTGCTGGAGGAGGCTCTTGAGAGTCCCCTGGACTGCAAGGAGAACAAACCTATCCATTCTGAAGGAAATCAACCCTGAGTGCTCACTGGAAGGACAGATCCTGAAGCTGAGGCTCCAATACTTTGGCCATCACATGAGAAGAGAAGATTCCCTGGAAAAGAACTTTATGTTAGGAAAGTGTGACGGCAAGAGGAGAAGGGGGACGACAGAGGATGAGATGGTTGGACAGTGTCACCCAAGCAACCAACATGAATCTGACCCAACTCCGGGAGGCAGTGGAAGATAGGAGGGCCTGGCGTGCTCTGGTCCATGGGGTCACGAAGAGTCGGACACGACTAAACGAAATGAAGAACTGGGTAAAACCACTGCTTAAATACTGTATCTCACTTACCTTGAAAGCCCTATTAGGGTTTCTAGAAATCAGATCTGACCGGGCGGCACAGAACACACATCGAAGGGAACGTGAGAAGGAGAATCCTTCCAGATGGACATGATTTACCCTGATCTCACAACAAAGTCATAAAAAGGCCAGAATTCTACTGCCAGTTTACACTTGCATAAGAGAAACTACAAATGTATTGACAATGTATTTTTACTTACTAATGAGGTGCTGGTTGGCTTCCTATGCACCAAGACTTACTCCATTCCCATTCTGCAAGTCTCAATCAGCAATAGGATCCTGACCATATAGACGTGTTACAGGTATAATACCGAAAAGCATGCAACTGTAGCAGATCCACAAACTGCACAAATATGTATGCAACAGTTATTGGACATTTCTTGACTTGTGTCAATTCTCATCTAAAAGTTATGTTCTTTGCGTAACTGCAACAGGATTCCAGCCTATGAGTGATGCTACCTGATTTGACAAATCGACCTGCAGAAGCAGCTCCAGGCCAGTTAAGGCTTTAATGCTCGAAAAGAGCCATTTTTCTATTCTGCCTTGAAATAAATGAAAAGGGAGCCAATAACAATTTAAGTGCAGGAGCAGCATCGTTTTTTCCCCCTCGCTGTAAACCAGAGCGCCGTTCCACACAGCAGCTTGCTGGCTTCAAATAGGCTTTAAAATAACCTCTGGGTTGTTGGTTGGAGATAAGGGCAGAAGCAGCTTGCGGGGAGGAGGAATGAAGAAACCCCACAAGCTGCATCCAGACCTCCCCCCCATAGAGGTTTCACTTTCCGACACAAGGTTATGTGAATAGTATGAAGGCAAAGGTTTTGAGAGTTCTTATCCAGTTTTAAAGTCAAGGGTTGCACATGGACCCCTGTGCTTGATTTTGGGTCAATAAAAAGGGTGGGTGGATTGCTAGGAGGATGAGAAAGCTGAAGAGAAAGAAGGAAGAGGCTGGAATGTGATGAAAGCGAATACGTGGAAGCACAAAGTCGCACTCACAGAGCCTTGTCTAGACGCAGGCTTCCTTTCCTTCGTCTAGATCCCTCGATCTGAAGGGAATGTAATTTATAAGCTCAAAGTTTAAAGAGACTCATTAACCGAATAATAACCCTGAGTCACCAGAATTATCCCTCCGAATGGCCGATCTCTCATTTTGAAGCAGGGCCAAACCTATCGTTAGGCGCAAGGTAGCAGGCGCCTCAGCCAGCAGATGCTGGGAATTGGCAGGAGAGCGTTAAAGAAGAGAGGTGTTATCGGTGTGCTTTGTGGCCCCTCGTTCAACCCCTCAGCTAGGTTCCTGCCTTTCAGGGGCAGGAAAAGGGTGCTGTTCCATCTCCAATGTCGAAGAAAGAGTCATCTGTTGTATGGAAAATGGACGGGTGTGTAAGGCTGTTCCTTACCAGCTCGGCTGGAGGTGCCACAGTGGAAATAGTCGCCCTTTGCCCCCACTGCGGCAGAAGCAGCTTGCGGGGAGGAGGAATGAAGAAACCCCACAAGCTGCATCCAGACCTCCCCCCCATAGAGGTTTCACTTTCCGACACAAGGTTATGTGAATAGTGTGAAGGCAAAGGTTTTGAGAGTTCTTATCCAGTTTTAAAGTCAAGGGTCGCGCATGGACCCCTGTGCTTGATTTTGGGTCAATAAAAAGGGTGGGTGGATTGCTAGGAGGATGAGAAAGCTGAAGAGAAAGAAGGAAGAGGCTGGAATGTGATGAAAGCGAATACGTGGAAGCACAAAGTCGCACTCACAGAGCCTTGTCTAGACGCAGGCTTCCTTTCCTTCGTCTAGATCCCTCGATCTGAAGGGAATGTAATTTATAAGCTCAAAGTTTAAAGAGACTCATTAACCGAATAATAACCCTGAGTCACCAGAATTATCCCTCCGAATGGCCGATCTCTCATTTTGAAGCAGGGCCGAACCTATCGTTAGGCGCAAGGTAGCAGGCGCCTCAGCCAGCAGATGCTGGGAATTGGCAGGAGAGCGTTAAAGAAGAGAGGTGTTATCGGTGTGCTTTGTGGCCCCTCGTTCAACCCCTCAGCTAGGTTCCTGCCTTTCAGGGGCAGGAAAAGGGTGCTGTTCCATCTCCAATGTCGAAGAAAGAGTCATCTGTTGTATGGAAAATGGACGGGTGTGTAAGGCTGTTCCTTACCAGCTCGGCTGGAGGTGCCACAGTGGAAATAGTCGCCCTTTGCCCCCACTGCTTCCAATTTAAATAAAATTTAAGAAACACACAGGGTTTTTTTTGTGGCAAAGTCTGCAGTGGAAGGGTCACCAACAAACGCACTCTCTGTATTATGCCAAGAATAGTTAAACCGTTTACATTCCTTTTCAGATTTATTTACAGAGCAAAACATTTGGTTGACTAAAATAGAGGAAGTTAATTTGCTCCACATACCTACGAACCACAGATTGATATACCAGGCTGATAATTTGGAAGCCAGCTTCATTTCCCCCGTATTTAACATAAACCTCCCTTTTGTCAGGCTGATGGCTAGCCGGTTGCTCTCGATCCTGCTTAAATAACTCCGCATTCACCTCCAGCAGCAAAGTCTATTTGTTCTACTTGGAGATTTGCATTTTAATCAAAGTCAACAAAAGCATTTTGCTGGATCCAAACTAAGCCTTTATTTCAAGATGTTTCATGGGCTCAACATAAAGGTAGACTGTGGAATATCTACACTATTAGTAATGAATAATAAAGCCCACTTTGGCTCTACTTGATCGCATCCAATTTGCATAAAAGACAGATGATAGTTTATTTCCTCCTCTCACAATTGCTATCTTCCAGGCACACAAATCTGCTATGCTTGCTGCTTGGGACATCTTCTTAGGCATCCTTCAGTCTCGAAAGACCATGGTAACGCGCTCTGTATGAGTGTCGTCTCCAGAGCATGAAGCCTGGGTAGAATAATATGGAGGACAGGCTGTTACCCAAGCAGCAAATCCCCCCTCTCCACGTCGCTGAAATGGTCCGATGGAAAGGCAAGAGCCAATACAACTGGTTCAGCGACATCGCAGGAGTTGCCAGAATGACACGAACTGCCTCCGGGACTCTGGCTCTGGATTTTGCCTCGAGGTTAACTCCTGAAGCCTTTTCCCTCAGTGGATATAGCCACAAGGCAGTGGAGGTTTGAAATCGGAGTTTTCCTTCTCCTAGATGAGCTGCCTTCCAAGGCTGACGAATCCCACCTACCCAGTCCAGGTAGATCGGGTTTAGTCAGAACTCTCCATTATGACCTGTCCGTCTTGGGTGTCCCTGCATGGCATAGCCCATGGCTTCTGTGAATTACTCAAGCCCCTTCGCCATGACAAGGCAGCAATCCGTGAAGGGGCCTGG